ATGGCTCTTCAAGGCTAGTTTCCGGTAGCTGCAAAAGAGAATCCAGGGAGGTCCAGCCCCATGGTGGGCGCAGTTAGATCCCGTTCTGACATGCCATCTAAAGCGCTTTTCACCTAAGTGCATTTTTCAAATGTTTAAGATCCCAAACCACCAGCAGAATGGAAGTATGCAATTAGGGCCCAATCCTGCCCTTCTTTGAAGGTAAAGCCTTACATTAGTGTTTTCAAACTGAGTTCCTCTCTTGCATATTGCAAGGTCTGGCTCCAAGGTTCGGTGTCTGCCCTGCTGCGGCTGGGGAAATCAGTAGCACCTAAACGCAACTCTCTGCATTGCTTTGTGGCCTGATCCTACAAAGTGCTGAACATTCAGAGGGAGTGGATGGTATGTCAGTACTGTCAAGGCACGGAGCCTAAAAGGTATTTAGGCATCTAATTCCCACTGGTTTCTAAATCCCATTGAAGATCTGGGTCCAAATCCTTGCAGGATTGGGCTTTTCAAGGTGAGAGACATCAGCCAATGACAGATCCATTTCCTGCCCTCTCTTGAGTTGCCCCACAGTTCGAGATATCACCTGGCATTCCCCTTTGTTTAGCAGATCCAGCACCTCAGGCCATCACAGATATTTGCACTTGCAAATAGCAATGGATGATGTGTTGTGTGTTTTGGGGTGTGCCTCTCCGAGATCAATGTCTGCATGCAGATGCTCTGAGCCCAGTATGCTCTAAAAACCAGGAATTAATTCCGGGAAGTCGCATGGCCTGTTTCGCGGGAGGTCAGACTAGATGATCACAATGGTCGCTTCTGGCCTTGGAATCTGTGAAGCCCTTCCCAACAATACACAGAGTCGCTGGACCCAATAGAGAGATGCACACAAACTGAGGGACTCAGCCCCTTCCTCTTGCCATCACAGCAGCAGGTGAACACAATGCAGCTATACAGCTGTGAGCACAAAGCAAGGGGATTACTTCTTTTCCCCAAAGCTCCTAGTCTTCACAGCAGTGCATTGCTGCACCAGGACACTTCAGACAATACAGCTGTGCACACACACAGAGGGGGGCTACACACTACCACCTAGCGCCTTCAGAGCAGTGTGCAGCGGTATTAGCCCCAACCCACGAGGTGCCTGCATGTCTGTACACACACCCAAACATCTGCTTGTATAATGGCACAGTAAGTGTGTGTCCATGCAGTACATGGAGGTGCACACACACACACCCCTGACACAGATGGGCACTATGATGGAGGTGCACACTCACACACCCCTGACACTGATGGGCTCAGGTGCACACTCACGTGCCTGACACAGATGGGCACCATGATGGAGGTGCACACTCACACACCCCTGACACAGATGGGCACTATGATGGAGGTGCACACTCACACACCCCTGACACCGACGGGCCCCTGGCGGAGGTGCCCCCTGGGCAGGGCACGGCTGTTCAGGGCACCCATGACCCGGCGGGCGCGCCCCCCACCCCCGCTCACGCTTGTTTGATGTCGGCGTCCTTGGCGCTGCGGTTGAGCTCCAGCACCGCGTAGTAATCCTGCCCCATGGCGCCCGGCCCGCGCTGTCCCGCTCGCCCGTTGCTATGGACGCCGCCCCGCGCGGCATTGTGGGAGTTGTAGTTCTTTCCCCCGCACCACTTCCCGCCTCAGCGGTCACTTCCGGACTACAGGTCCCGCCCTCTCCCCGCCCGCACTGCCCCCAAAGTGGGGGTGTGTTTGGGGAGGGGGCTAAGAGATCCCACCCTCACCCACAGCAGCCTCTGCGCACCCCCCAGCTCCTGGGGCAGTGGCCCTGCTCGCTCAGTATGGTTTGGGAACCACCCCCAGGGCCTCCACCCTCCCACCCCCCAGCAGCTCTGACCCCGCTCCTTCCCCCACCCTTTCCTCCACCCAGGGTTGCCACTGTTGGTTGGACCAATTCCTGGAGGTTTCATCACGAGTGTCTTTCATTTTAAAATTAATCTTGAATTCCTGGAGACTCCAGGACAATCCTGGAGGGCTGGTAACCCTACCTCCACCCTGCCCCTTCCACATAGGGCCTGCTTCTCTTGTCTCACTTCCCCTCTTCCCCCATCCATTTCTTCTGTAGAGCCTTCACCAATGAGCCCTCCCAAACTCCTGGCCTACTGAAGCGGGTGTGTGAATGGCTGCAGCGTTGTGGGGTATTCCTTGCAGTAGGGAGTGGGGCCACAGGACACCGAGCACAGTTCCTGGTGTGCATTCATTTACTAACAATGCCCAACTCAGCACACACTGTGCCATCATACACATTAGCAGTATTGGGGCATGGGAGGGAGGGAGGGAGGACAAAAATCTTACAGGTTAACAGGGAACTGAATTGGATGGGGCCTTGTTGCATTCTGATAAGCTAATCCTATATTCCTAAATGCTCACTGACACTACGGCATGTATCCTGTTAGTTATTTAAGAGTAAATGGTTCCTTGTCTTCAGAGTACTTTACACCTGTTAACTCAGCCATCACCAATTCTACTGGGTCTGGTGGGTTTTATTAGCAGATTTTCAGGAGAAGTAGAAAGTGGAAAAGCAGATTTTGTATGTGGGCTAAATTCTTATGACCATTTTGATTGGCTATAAGGTAGTTATGGATCACCCCCTTTTACAAATGGGGAAACCGGGCATAGGGAGATTAAAAGGGATTTGTCCAAGGTCACACAGTGAGTCAGTGGCAGAGCTGCATCAGATCTCTGGAGTTCCTCAATCTTAGCCCACTGTTCACTCTTTGATAGCACGTGATAGAACAGGAATTTACAAACACCCGGACCCAAATTGTGGAGGTAGATCAGAGTCGACAGGACTGAACATTTGTCCCTTAGACTTAACATTTACATGAAAATGGCAGTCTGCCGCTATTATTTGAAATCCTATGGCAAAAAGATGCTTTTCACCATACTATAAGAGCTATGTAATTACTGATTTAACAAAAAACTGGTGGAATTTTAATGTGGCCTTCACTACAATAGCTATAACTACAACTGGATATATTTTTAAACTGCACAAGAACATATGTATTTCATTCACGTGGAGATCAAACTGAAATCTCAAATTTAGTCAGATCAAATCACGGCTACTCACTAAATTCACAAAAATCACACTTTTTATTGTAGAATAGAGTCACAAGAAAGGTTATGAGGCGTTGAATGTGACATGGACAGTCGTTTTGCTTTTAAATTAACTGTCTTGAAAATGCACAAACTTCTCTAGAAAAGGGGTGATCAAAAGTCAATCCCTTTATTTCAATCAATTCTGCAGTATGGTCACCTCCAGATCTCGTGTCTCCCCAGCCCAAGATCATAGTCTTGTTAGAAATACCAAAATTGTCCACTGAATGTTGAAAACAGTTCTGTACATATATTGCAGATACAAAGGGTCTTGCATTAACATCTTCTATAAGCTGCTTACTGGAAGAGAATGGTCTAAACTTTGGGTTGTAAGAAGCAGCACAAGATCAAGAATTCTATGTACAGCCTTGTTCTTAGATTTTATCACAACAATGTTCTCAAAGCTTATATATACACACTTCATATATACTGTACAGTCCTAGAAAGGTAGCATTGCTTTTATTTGGAAGTGCTACATGGCCTAGGTTCTAACCTAGCTAGACTTTAGCCTTGTTTCTTTGTTCATCTGTTTCCCACACACCACAAATGGTCAGAGGTCAGAAAGCTGGTATCTCCTCACCATCCCATCTCTGCAGCATGTATAGATTTGTTTCTCCCATGTAGCTACCTAGAAGAGGGAAATGAAAATATTATTTAAAAAGAAAACCTCTTACATTATCCTCCTCCTCATCTGCTTTTCTCACAAGCGCCTTAGTGCTTTTTCCTATGCAACCCCATATGGGTGGGGAAAAACTTCTTTCCTCTTAAATCCATCCTTAAAACACCCCTCTCCCATGAGGCCTACAAATCATAATAATTGGCCACTGACAAGGTGAAAGACCAGCTGGGGCTGCTTGACAACTCACAATAGAAACATACCCATATTAGACAGGGACTTCTCCCTCCCCCAACTGTTTGGATAGCATTCAGCACAATGGGGCCCTGATCCCTGACTGGAATCTCTATGAGCTGCCGCAATATAAATATCTAGTGAATGGCCTTTAACCTCTCCCTTGACTGTTAGGACTTCAAGGTGATGCCAGAGATTCTTGGAAGGGTAATTGCCCCATGCTGTTCACAAAGGATTACAATGGCGTGATCATTAGGATATTCTGAAGAGGATCTGCTTACATTGATATCTCCGTGTTAACAATTGGAAATCCTACTGGTACCACCATGGACGGGGCAGTTTGCTACTGACAGAAGCTCATGTACTTCCCCAAATGCTATATTATAGTGGATTCTGAACTCAGCAAAGGTCTGAAGAGAAATGGGAACATTTGAATGTTTTTATTTTCTGAGATGGGAAGGAAAGAAATCAGCAGCCCTCGGAAAAAGTATTATCTCCTAAGCTAGCCATAGAACAACACTGGCTTAGCTGAAAATGCAGCAGTTTCCCTGAAGGAAAACTGGGGGAAGAGGGAAGACGACACATTAGTAAATGGTGGGTGGTCCTGTTGAAAAGCACTGTTGGGCATGTTTCTTGGTGTCCATTTTTCTTCAGATTTGCCATTATAAAGATGACTGTGTAACAGCACTTGGGGTCTATAATGTGACAGCTAAAAGCTTTATAGTCATTCAGCAACAACTTTTAGAAACAAGGTTTTTTGGGGGTTTTGAAATGGTTTCAAAGATGACCAATCAAACGCACTCCATTTACAAGATGGGCTTTTCTGTCAGATCTGAGAGAGAAGATGGATTTCTTTTGCTCACGGATCACCACCAGTTAAAAGTCTGCAGGCCAAACTCTGCCCTCGGGTATGCTGGCCTACGCTGCCTTCAGTGGGGTATACTGTTGGAACAGATGGCAAGATATGACTTTGCAATAGGACTGTCAATTAATTGCAATTAACTCATGCGATTAACTCAAAAAAATTAATCGTGATTAAAAAAACTAATTGTGATTAATCAGAGTTTTAATCGCACTGTTAAACAACAGAATACCAATTGAAATTTATTAAATATTTTGGATGTTTTTATACATTTCCAAATTATTGATTTCAATTACAACACAGAATACAAAATGTACACTGCTCACTTTATATTATTTTTTATTACAAATATTTGTACTGTAAAAATGATAAACAAAACCCAGTATTTTTCAAGTCACCTCATAGAAGTACTGTAATGCAATTTCTTTATCGTGAAAGTGCAACTTACAAATGTAGATTTTTTTTGTTACATAACTGCACTCAAAAAATAAAACAATGCAAAACTTTAGGGCCTACAAGTCCACTCAGTCCTACTTCTCGTTCAGCCAATCGCTAAGACAAACTAGTTTGTTTACATTTACAGGAGATAATGCTGCCTGCTCCTTATTTACAATGTCACCAGAAAGTGAGAACAGGTGTTCGCATGGGACTTTTGTAGCCAGCAATGCAAGGTGTTTAGGTGCTAGATGAGATAAACATTAATATGCCCCTTCATGCTTCGGCCACCATTCTAAAGGACATGCTTCCATTCTGATGACGCGCGTTAAAAAAAGAATGCATTAATTAAAATTGTGACTGAACTCCTTGCGGAAGAATTGTATGTTTCCGGCTCTATTTTACCTGCATTCTGCCATATATTTTATGTTATAGCAGTCTCAGATGATGACTCAGCACATGTTGTTCATTTTAAGAACACTTTCGCTGCAGATCTGATAAAATGCAAAGAAGGTACTGTTACGGAGTTCCCAGGCGATGCTTTGGAACTGCTCCCCACAAAGCCAGTTAGGACTTTGGGGAGTCTCCTCTTCCATAGAGCAGACTGTTTTTAGGGCAAGAAGCTTACACGGCTTTACCTTTTGGGTTTTTCCTGGGAGCATTTAGCATATGCCCCTCCGTGTGCTTCCCACAGCGAGTCCGCCCAGGCGGGGTTCTGGGGAAGCCAGAGGTCCTTTACGCACCCCCACTTCACAGTCAGACGTGACTCTTAGCCACCCAGTAAAACAGAGGTTTATTAGATGACAGGAACATGGTTTAAAACAGGGCTTGTTGGTTCAGCGAACGGGACCCTTTACCGGGTCAATTTTGGGGCCCAGCAAGCCCGATACCCCTGTCTGCCCTCACTCCTAGTCCCCAGCCAGCTCCAAACTGAAAAACCTCTCCAGCCCCTTCTTTCTGGCCTTTGTTTTTTTCCCGGGCCAGAAGGTTACCTGATCTTTTTGTTTTCAACACCTGTAGTTGGTACCTTGCAGAGGAAGGGCCCAGGCCATCAGCTGCTAGGAGACAGAGTGTTGGGCATTTATGTACACTGTCCCTTTGCTCTGCAGCAACTATACACCCTTATCCCACCACCTAGATACTTAAGAACTGCATAGGGGAAACTGAGGCACACACACAGTATTCAGCGAAAACATTAAGAACATTTCCAGTTCGTCACAGGTACCAATGTGAGATTTCTAAAGATGGCTACAGCACTCGACCCAAGGTTTAAGAATCTGAAGTGCCTTCCAAAATCTGAGAGGGTTGAGGTGTGGAGCATGCTTTCAGAAGTCT